ACGCTACAAAGCAAAGTGACGTGCTTGAGTGTCCGAGAAGGAGTTGACTGTAGCAAGTATCAAGTGAGTGTTGGCAGTACTCAGTGTTGAGCGGAGCTAACACTCTGTTTGCTGATCGTCGCTTCTACTCGTCGCGTGAGAGTGAGTCACTCTGGTAACTTCAGGGGAGGAATACGATCTCGAGGAAATTCCTAAGTGATGAACAAGTAATGTACTAAGTGATGAACGGACAATGCATAGATGCCATTACACGGGGGATGATGTTATAATGTCTACTTTGACTAGTGGCCAGGAGAGGGCTGTTGCAGGAAAACGGCAAATGAAGAGGGGTCTCTAAAATCTGAGTCTGTTTAAAAATTTGAGTCAACCACGAAACTACACGTCTAAACTCTTGCAATCTCCCTGTAGAACCTGGGCAGTGGAATGGGTCCTCGGTTGAGAGAGACGGTGTAACTGAAGCGGCTAACTAAAAGTACCACTTCCAGTTAACAGTGAAGATTCAGGGTATGTGTTATTGTCTCGTTTTAACCGGAGGGTAATGCCCTGAGAATACCTCCCTTTGGTTACCCCGCTCCGGTTTTTCCAACCCTCGTTCATTGCTGATGATCAAAGGGGCATATGGAAAGCACTTGAAACTAGGACAGGGCCTAGCAAGAGAGTGACTACTGAGTGACATGTCGGGCCAAGACGGCTGATCAGCAGAAAACTAGTCACCCAGCTCAGGGACAACAGCAAAACTTCATCAAAGAGAAGTTGTGACATCAGCTGCAATTGACTGTGCTCCAGCTAAACTTGTGCCTCACATGAATAGACAATGTACTGGTTAGGTAACCTGCGATCGATCGGGGACTTTTAGTAGACTACCGATAATCGCTGCAGGGAACCTGTTGAGAGCTTCGGGTATGAGCTCAATACTGGGTCCGAGTGGCGCATCCTCAACCAGGAATATTAACACAGATAACCTGGACTCAACAGTGTCTAGGCATTACACGTCGTCAAGCCTTTTCTAGCCCTGGTACAGAAAAGGGAACATGAACAACTCTAATACCCTGACGATGCTGATTTCCCCAAAAGTTCAAAACAACGTGTAGCTCACAATCTAATACCTACGAAAGACTGCTTGTGAGACTGGTACAGCAAACGTTTCCCTACAGAGAGCCTGACTACCTCTACAGTCTACTGTTTAGCTGAAAGCCTCGGTGATAAGTTATATCCATTTAAGCCTGACAGATCAGAACTTGGGAGTGATTGTTTTCCCTCCGGGTGTTAAGGCACTTCAGGACCACTTGCAGTTTTGCTTACTCTCTCTCCCAGAATCCAAAGAGTAGAGAAACCATGAAAGACAATGAGATCCTAGTGCTAAAATGCGAGGTTACTATGAACAAACACAAGAACTGGGAGTCAGAGGCAATTGCATGTATGGAAATTCAGAGGATGATCCATAGAGAAGGTGCAGTTCAAAAGGCAGCCGGAAAAAAGTACATAGAGTATGCGGTCTACTTTAGCGGCAGTGATGGCAGAGTACACAGCATTGGCTCGTCGCTAGAGGCTGTGGAACAGGCCGAAGCAAAGCTCCAGTGAGTCTGGTTATCCTGGTGGCACAGATTCCCAGAACAAAGCTCAGAGCAGTTTAACAGTACTTAGACCGTTTTTCAGCGCTCAGTACGGTACTCAAGACAGTCCTCGGAACAGCATTCTGGACTGTACTCCGAACTGTATTCAGAACAGTATTCAGAGTAGAGTTCAGAACGACTCTGGGAAGAGTATTCAGAACAACATTCTACAGTGATTCAACCACCACTGAGTCTGTATTTAATTTGCAAACAGTCAAGTCGAACGGCAAAGGACACTCATTGGCAAGCAACAGTTGACCCAATCAACGGCTTACATCTTTCTGCCGGCAAATTCAGCATTCTCCAGTTTCCCCAATCAGTTGTCACTCAGCAACGTTCACGTCATGATCAGTAACCAGATCAACATCTAATCAGCTTTCAGTCGATAAATCTCAGCAGCATTCAGTTCGTGATCAGCAAACAGAAGCGGCAATCAGAAGGCGGCAATCTCAACAACAATCAGTAAATGGCAACCAGCTGAGTAGTTAGAAACAACACTTCAGGGCGGCAATCTCAGCAGCAGTAGCCAACTGGTAACCAAACAGCGAAAACTCAGGGGAGAAATGGGTGATAGTGACATTATAAGGGTGGCATGTTCACTGCGTCAGGGCACGTCAGAGGACTGGAGGGAGAGCGCAGTGGAAGAATACAATCAGCAGACAATCATGATGATGGAGCATGCTTTGATGCTGGTAAGGGACCACACCCGTATTGAGTACACTTATTATCTGCATGACAAAAGCAGAAAGTTGTGCGCTACTATTTCCTCCGTGAGCACTATTGAGGAAGCAAGGACTGTTGGCAGCCGTCAGTGAGCGTTTTGGCTCTGAACAAGAACTGCTCACTTGTCCGGACACTCAACAATCATCAGCAATCAGTTATTAGTGATCAGTTGTTAGTAATCAGTTTTCAGCAATCAGTTTCCTGCAATTAGTTTGGTAATCAGTCCTCCGAGACCATCGGGTCAGCTTGTACTGGCGAGAGTACTCATGAGCACAGTTCAGCCTACGCCGGTCAGTGAGTCAGTGCTGGCCAACCTCAGCCGGATCTCATGACCAGTTTTGTTGATGGCACTATCCACGATCTGAGGCCTTACCTAAAGAAGGGCAAAGAGACTCATGAGTTTTTCGATCCAGTCTGGATCTCAGCCACCGAATATCTTGAGCAGAGAGAGAGGGAGCTCGATGAGAGTGGCACAGCGTTGATTCGCAGCTTCGGGCCGATGCTTTATACTGACTATCCTAGGCCTCCAGTCCCTTCTCCTCTCACTGATGGCACGAGTTGGCTGGAAGTGATTGGTTTGGCAAAGAGGTACATCTCTCCGGCAGTGATCGACGTTGAGGCACTGACCGAGCCCACCGAGTATCCCTACCTCAGACGGGGAGTCTTCTCAGTAGACGGGCTGCCTACATTGTGGGAGGAGTTTTGCTCAATGGTTAACTATCGTGTTATGTGCCTCGGATGGCCGTGCTCAGAGGTTGCTGGCTACAGGTGGCATTTTGTCACGAAGCCTCAGTCTCGGATTGTACGGGGGCGTGGGTCTCGGCACCAGAGAAGATCAGTGAAAAGAGATTGAGGGAGGCCGACCAGAGGGATGAGTGAGGACTCTTGAGAGGTGCTGACCACGCTCGTTTATGTGTACTTTCTGAGATTATTATGAGTTCTCATTCTTCCCTCATTCAATTGTCCCTGTCTTTGCTCGAGTCAGTCAGTCTTATTTTCCGCATTATTCTTGCTTGATTATTGCCTTCGTGGATGTTTTGTAACAGTTCTCAAAATCAGATTGACATAATTGATGCATGCATAGCACCCCATAATTGTATGATTATTATTTGCATAATTCTTTGCTGTTCCGAATCAAAATAAAAGATTCCTAAGACCGGGGACCGGCGAAGACCACAATTGAAGGGTCTCGCTCGAAGCCGGACGCACACAACAGGAAGGGATTTGCATTATTTAATTTATTTTATTTATTGCAATCACATACAAAATCCTGCGTGACAGCCTGTTGGCTTTCCGGTCGCCCGAAGTGGTTAGGCTGGAAAAAGTGCGACAACGCGCCTTCCTTCTCGCTGTGCGCTTCTCCTTTGCCCGACTGCTCTCCTTTCCTGCTGCACATATTTCTCATCACATGACCTTACCTTCAGCACGCCCACTTCAGGCGGTGCACATGCGCCTTCTCCTCAACGGCACACTGGTTCCCTCCACATGCACGCCACTCTCGTGAGGACAATAAGAGTTTGGTTCCGATACCATTTAAACGATTTGTATTACGGACGACCAAGATCCATCACGCAACCACAAGATCTACATGATTTGAACACACACAACATTACAACTCGAAATGATTTACACAGGTTTCTTAAGATTGCGGATATGGCAGCCAGCCCAACAACAAAAGGTAAGTTTCGCTCTCTCCTCTCTTGCTCTCCCTACTACAACTAACTACTTCGCCCAGGTTCTGTAATCGCTCTCTGAATGTCGTCGCTTCTCTCTCTCTCTCTCTCTCTCTCTCTCTCTCTGTGTGTGTGTGTGTGTGTGTGTGTGTGCGAGGCTCCAGCTATGGCACCCAGCCGTCGACTCTCTCTCTTGCCCAACACTGTTCATGTTCCAAAATCTTGCCGCCCAGTAATGCAGCAGCACTTCCATATCTGCCACAACCAAAGAAGAGGAGATACTGACATTGGCCTCCCTTTTGTTCCCACTGATTCGCCAGTCTTCTGACAGGCCCTGTCGTGGCAGACAGAGATGCGGTCTGCCGCGGCCTTTCCTTGGGACTGCGCTGCAATGAGACCGGGACTGGACACGTGGCAACTCCCTACCTATCGACTTCTAGGACCCTCTAATGGTCCTACTGGTCCTATCTTATCAAACCACTATTTTGTGTTGTACAGTACCTACCGGAAAGTTCTACTTCGGCCCTAGGGTACGAAAGAAAATGGGACACGATATCGGGGCCATACTGCGGCATCGCATGGATCGTTCAGTTGGTTGATTCCAGCTGAATGATTTGAGTAGGCAGGTACATGACATGGTAAGACGAGGTGCGAGGTTTCATACAAGTAGAGAAGAGAGAGAAAGAATCCAGAGATGGTTGGACGCTATATTTAGTACCTGTCCAGGATCCCACCAGAAATTAACGCGTACCCCTAGGCCAGCAAAGTCCATCAACCCAGAACATCACTACCCATCCATCCAACTGCAATTATGCAATATGAAAACATTGTGATGAAGAAAATATTCAAAGACAACACTGCCCCAATTGTAAATTTGATGAAATGAGCTTGCACTTTGACAAAGTCTGGAGATAGCATTAGAGAAGTGCCCACAGCAAGAAATGTAAGAAAATTTGGCTGGACAAATATGACTTGAAAAAAGCTTACCCACCTGCAGATCCGAAGTGGTCATTTCGGGGTCAATATTCGACAGCTCCAGGACCCTTCCCTGGGCAGCTGCAATTGGCAATTCTTTTGCCCATGGCTGCAATACGGTTGGAACAAAACCAAATCAATGTTGATCATCAGCAATGTGCTGTGTTATTCAAACTACTGATGCCCGATATCAGTCATGCTGGTTGACGTAAATACTGTATATAGAACAGGCCACATAAGCAAACTGATCGAGCATCAATCCTTTCATGCTTTACACAACCTCCGGCGGCATAATTCACCAGCACTGGACCCCATGTACTAGCCGTTTTTCCCTCACATCACAGTCTTCAGCACACAACCATTTATAAACACGGGCAACCTTTCAAAAGGGCTAGTACCAAGGAATTCTTTTTTTTTTAAGGGCAGCAGCCTTGAGATATCATCGTGGAACTGACCAGCCCCCGGTAATTCAGAAATTTACTCAGGTCTGTATTTCAACATTTCACAAGGTGTACCAACCGAGCTAGGCCCGTTGGTGGGGGCTGTACAAAGGAATTGTTTTGAAAGACAGCATAAAATCTTTAGCAATGAGTTTATAGTAAGGTAGGCAAAAGAAGTAACACAAGCTGTACTTCCTCTTGCTCAATAAACGACACCTATCCCTGACACGCTCCAAGGTCATGCTTAAAGCAAAGGGGGTTGTGGCATTCAGGAGCCTGTTGACCTCAGTCCACCCCAGGTTCAGCAAAATACCCTTGTAGGCAGTTCTGCTATGAACCGCACAGTTCATCACCAATGAGTGCACACATAGACATGCATCAAACACAAATGAGATGACACAAATTCGCACACTGGATGTGAGAGAGTAGAAAACCAGATAGCACAGCTTATCACTTCCAGCAAATTATCACAAGAGCAATAAGAGTTCAACTCACCAGCGCTCATCAACGCATACAAAGGTAACCAGTAACCAGCGTCAGCTCTCAGGTAAGTGCCTCTTTCCAGCTCTTCTTCTCTCTGTCTCTCTCTCGATCTCACTGGTCTTCTCTCTAGCTATGTCCTCACTGTGTCTTCTCTCCCTACACGCATCCACACTCACTAACTACTAATCAAGGATCTCCTCTGGATACATTCACCGCTGGTCCTACTAACTACCACTACTAGCACTAACACTCTGCACTGGTGCAGCTATGGCCGCCTTCTCCCTGCCAGCGCTAACTCTTACTCTCTATCTCTCTCACTTAGAGGAGCACCCTGGCTCAGCGCTCTGCTCTTCCCAATAGCACACAAGTGCACCAGCACTTCCACACTTCATGCGAATGAGCAATCTGCCTCATGAGGAGGCTGGCCAGTCCTTGTATTGTCTTGGACTGAGCTTCAACTTGTCCCAGCCTTTGCTTCTTGGAGCTTGACTTGGTTCTGGTCCCACATCCCCACAGCCTGTTTGCTTCAGAGTGTCAGGCCTGGTACTGTTCCCGAATTTTCATTGGTGTGATGCTGCTTGGGCCTTTGAGCCACGGCTTTTCGATTGTGGCACATGACTTTCGACTGGGGTTTGTGACTCCTGCCTCTGGGACACGACTTTTGCCTGTGGAGTGTCCTTCGCCCGTGGGTCGTTGCTTTCCAATACGACTTTTCATTATCAGACGTGATTTTTGCCCCTGGGATGTGACTGTTAGCCGGGTGCCTGTTGGACTTAACTGCTAAGGTCCCCGACTGTGACTTTTCTGAAACTGACCGTCTTGGCCTTTCTCGGCCCAGGCCTCTAGACCTGAGATTCGGATTTGGGGTCTCAATCGTGGAAGGCCTTTCAGTTCTGGCTCAAAATCACAGGGCCCATCATAAAGGCATTTATAGACCTGAGCCTCTTCCGGCTTTGCCCACAAAGAAAAAAACAAACAAGAACAGAAGAAAATAGATGGACAACAAAGGAGGGGGCCTTGGGAGGGGAGAGGGAACAAAGCTCTGTCTCTCCCCCCCTTTTTACCTATCTCCTGTGATTGTGATGCTTTTTCACCAGACCCTTTCCCTTCCCTCATACTGCTGCGATTTCACACTTAAGTTCTGGTTCAAAAGCACAGGACCCGTCATAAAGACATTTTATCATGTTTATGATAGGGACGTCCGGACCTCAGTGCAGCCGGCCTGGGTCTAGATGTCCGAGTCTAGTGTCTGATCTCTGGTTCCCTTCGCCCACTCCCCCCAAAAAAAACATTCCGAGTTCGGGAAAAAAAAAATCAAAAGACTTGTAATAACCCATGCAGTATGCCTCGTGGAATGTCTAAGGGCCTCGCCAAGCCACCCAGCCTGAAGGGAAGAAAAGACCCCTACTCGGATTCAGGGCTTGGGCGGGCGACAGTTGCCCAAGTCAACTGCCCGATGTCCAACAGTCAAAGTCAAAATGGACCCAGCCCAGGCCGCCGGTCAGACGCACACACTTGTTTGTATGCAGGTACCCAGACAGCATCAGGACCAAGTGGAAGTCTGCAAATGTACACAATCCAGGCCCTCGGCTCTGAGTCATCTGTACGACTGTGGGAGGGAGGCCAAACACTACATAAGGCTTGGTCTCCATGAGGTCGACATTCAGTCTGGCTATGTAGCCTTGACGCTGGCTTGACTCTCACTGGACGCTGGCATGACGCTGGCTTGACGCTGGCTGTGTGCTGGTACTGTGGGGGACGACGCGGGACTGTGGCAGCATGCTGGCCCCTTCTCCGCTGAGCGCCAGCCTCTGCTGATGTGGCACATGCCACCTGTCGACATTGCTGATGTGGCGCAGGCCACCTGTCTTCATTGCTGATGTGGCGCATGCCACCTGTCTACATTGCTGATGTGGCACATGCCACCTGTCTAAATTGCTGATGTGGCACAGGCCATCTGTCTTCATTGCTGATGTGGCACATTCCACCTGTCTCTATTGCTGACATGGCACTGGCCACGCTGTCCACATGAGGTGATTGGCCGTGACAAGGAGGGAGACCGGGATCTGTGGATGATTGGGAATTGGTACTCACCTGAGGTTGACGTCGATACCGTGCACTGCTGTTTGTCTTCATTGTCTCCACGAGATGACAGTGCCATGTGGCACTTCTAAGCGATCAGGACTTCTCAGACTTGTTACTGGATATTGATTGACGACGTGGAGGTGAAGGGAAGCCCGGAGAAGGAGTGGGTAATGTTTGGGCTACTCCTTTGCTGGTCACTGATTATCTCTTCCACCCTCTCATCTGTCCATTCCCCCTCCACTCTCTTCGTCTATTGGAAATGAGACATTGTATCAGATATCACTTTCACGATTACTGGAGACATTGTGCAGATCTGAGTCAACTTGTACTTCTACGTCTGGTGAGTATCTTCCAGTCTGGGTTCATTACAGACTGAAAAAAAATCCATTATGCAGCATTGCAATACAAAAATCTTTTGGCTGAGGACCATTTCGAAATTATTAATTTTTTTTGGGGGGGTGAGGGGTTCAATCCGGGCGGTCCGGAGCAGTCCAGAGACAGGTCCGGACGGACGTCTGGATTGGTCCGGTGTTCGGGTCCGACATAACCATGCATTATAGACCTAACCTGTTTCGGCTTTGCGCACAAAGAAAAGAACAAGCAACAACAGATGAACATAGAAGGACACAAAGGGAGCAGGCATAGGGGGCAAAGGGAACACAGCTCTCTCTCTCCCCCCGTTCACCCCTTTTCTGTGATTGCAATGCTTTCTGCCCAGAACCTTTCCCTCCCCTCCTCCTGCTGCGATATCAAGGTCAACCCCACTCACAGTCCTCCACTCCCCCCCCCATCCCCACCTCTTATGATTTCGAATTTTGTTTTCCTGCCCCATCCTTCAGCTCTCTGTCTCCCTCTGTCACCCCTCTTCTACAATTGTGATGCTTTTTCCAACACCCTTTCCCTTTGCAACTCCCACTGCGATTTCAAGCTCTAACCCCACCCACAGTTCCCCTCCGCTTCCTCATGATTTCAACAATGTTTTCCTGCTCCAACTTCCCCCTAACCCCCACATTCCCCGGTTCACCTACCCCACCCTTCCCCACCCATACTTTTCAAAGGACGGGGCAGAGGGAGCACAGCTCTCTCCCTCCCTCCATCAACCCTCTTCTACAATTGCGATGCTTTTCCTCATACCCTTTCCCTTTGCAGCTCCTGCTGCGATTTCAAGCTCTAACCCCACCCACAGTTCCCCTCCGCTTCCTCTCCCGCCCCTCATGATTTCAACAATTTTTTCCTGCTCCAACTTCCCCCTAACCCCCACATCTCACGGGTCCTGTGATTTTCACGCTTTTCCTGGCCACATTCTCAATGGACCACGGATCAGTTATGAAACTGATCAGAGCACATACTACACTGGGTAGTGTGTGTGGGGGAGGAGGACGTAGTTAGTTAGATTGGTCTCTCTCTCTCTCTCTCTCTCTCTCTCTCTCTCTCTCTCTCTCTCTCTCTCTCTCTCTCTCTCTCTCTCTCTCTCATCTTGTGCGCAGGCGTGTAACAATGTTGATGGACCTCTCTCTCTCTCTCTCTCTCTCTCCCCCCCTCTCTCTCTCTCTCTCGCTTGAGCGCGCGTGCTTTTTTTTTTCTTTTCTAACATTACAACACCTCGATGGACAACGGATCAGATACGAAACTGAACGGAGCAGATACTACGCTTGATCATGGGGGGGAAAGGGGGGGCGTGTAGTTGGTTAGATTGGGGTCTCTCTGTCCCCATCTCTCCCCCTCTCTCTAGTCTCTCTCGAGTGTCTGGCGTGGATTATTTTAATTTTTATTTTTTTTTGTAAACAGTCTTGATGGACCACAGATCTGATATTACGCTCTCTCTCTCTCTCTCTCTCTCTCTCTCTCTCTCTCTCTCTCTCTCTCTCTCTCTCGTTCAGCTCCTTCTCTCTTTCCTCTCGGTGTTTGCTGCTGAGATCCATACTAAATCAAAG